GAGACATTTCACAAAATCTGTCTGCTAGATCAGGTCTACTCACAGCAATGTGGGTATCCTCCTCTTCTGCTGCCACACCTCTCCAACCCATTCCTTCAGTAAGGAGACCAGCATTTGTCTGAACAAAATGAAATAAAAAGGTTAAAAAGGAAAAAAAAAATATAGTAGTAGTTGTAAGTAAAAGTAGTATTGTAAAGTATTTCAGTGTAACACTAAACAGATAAAGAAGTCAGTTTTTCAGTGTAAATTGCCTATTTACTATCCCATGTACCATCATTTAAAAAGAGAAAAAAAAAAAAAATTACAATTTTAAACAGTGAACAGAAGGCATCTGTTAATATTTATTTATTACAGGTACTTATATGGTGCCATCAATTTACACAACACTTTATAGATAGATCATTCACATGTCCCTGCCCCAAGGAGCTTGCAATCTAGGGTTCTTAACTCACATTCATACATACATATACTAGGGCCAATTTAGACAGGACCCAAAAAACCTACCAGCATGTCTTTGGAGTGTGGGAGGAAATCCACACAGGCACAGGGAGAACATGCAAACCTCATGCAGGTAGTGCCATGGTTGGCATTTGATCCAATGACCCTAGTGCTGTCAGGCTGAAGTGCTAACCATTTAGCCACAGTGCTGCCCATATCCATTTTGTTTTCTAAAAGGAAAAAGAACGGAAATCTTGTATTTTTTTTTTTTTGCAGACCTAAATTGAATCAGATTAAGGCAGACACAAAACACTCATCCATTTACATCTACTTGCCCATAAAGATGAATTGTCTTTCCTTCTGGGAAAAACAAGTGTAAAGACGCTACCATCTCCCTCAATTACTGTTCCGCCCAGTGCTCAGACCTGGAAGCTGATACCCCCCACAGATCTGGATAGAAACAGGAATGGTCGGGACTCAGGATAAAGTCCAACTGTATATTTCTGTATTATGGAGCTAATAACTAATTGTCCAAAACGCATTGGCTGTTTTAGCTATGTACACGTTTCCATATTATAGAAATATACATTTGGACTTTACCCTGAATGCCGGTTTTCTGGATCTGTCTGAAAAACTGCCCGATGGTTCCAGACTAAACCCTGGTTCACACCGGTGCGACTTGAGGTGCAACATGCGATTTACAAATCGCACCTAACGTCACAACTAATGTATTTATATGGCATTGTCCTAATCAGTAAGATTGAAGTAGTACAATTTCAAAAATAGTTAATGCATTACTTTGTTTCTGATTTCATTGCGACTTGCATTGAATTCTATTAAATAAAGTCACAAGCCGCAGTGAGATTGGAGGTACAATTCGCACTGATCTGCGCTGATTTCAAAGTTGCATTCAGTGCGAACCAGGGCTACATGCGCAAAGTAAAAAGGGGCCAAAGCCTTTTCAACACTACCAAAAAAAAAAAAAAAAAAAAATGAATGAAAATGTTCAACAAGGAGAAACAATGATTCCTACTGTATTAATCCTTTGTTTTCCTGACCTGTATTGATGAACTTTTCCACCACTGCCTATCACAGAAGTCAATTATATGGGTATATGCGAGTATCAAAGCCACACAAAGCAGTTTGTCCTGTTATCCAATCATGCATGCACGAATAACACTGAATGCGACATTTTGGATGAAGGTATGCAAAAAAAAAAAGCTTTGTAACATGACTATTTCCATTGGTACATATCTGAATGTATGTGAGCAAGCACACCTGTGTAAAAGCTACAATGCATCTTTATGAGACAAGCCCCAGGTATCAGATTTCTCTTCACCAAGGAATGTTATTATTGCTTAGCCTTTATTCCTCAGTTGCAACAGCTCATTCTCTATATTAACATGATTACTTTGTGTTTTCTCTTTTCCCAGCAGATCACACGCAAACATGAATAGGCAATATACACTAGAAGTCATTGTTAAACCACAGCCCAGCGAATAAAGTGTAGTTTACTAATTAGAAAGTGATGATGATCAAGACAGGCATGGAAACATCTTCAAACAGGTGTTCTGTAGCCTTGAACTTACCCTGAAAACATCTAAACTGAATTTCTAGATTTAAAGCAGAATCCCATCCAAACTAGATTTTGTTTAGTTGGAGTGGTGAAAAAAGTATCATCTTCTAATGAAGCTTTACATTCCCCTAGGACAGTGGTCGGCAAGCCGCGGCTCGCGAGCCACATGCGGCTCTTTGCACACTTTAATGCGACTCTTCTGTGTGCCGGGCGCCCGCTCCCCTCCCTCCTCTCGGGCGGCCGCCCCAAAAGTCAGGACTCTGCAGCTAGCCCAGCAATGGGCAAACTACGGCCCGGCGGACCTTTTAATCCGGCCCGCGGAGCGTGGCAAACATTGGCTGTCAGGATGTAGGCGGGGCAGCGTGACGAACTCCTCTCCTCTCACAGTCCGCCCTGAAGACCGGAACGGCGCGGGAACACGGCGAGAGGAACGCGCGGAGCAAAGATAAGTGAATTGACACAATATGGGGAATGAATTACTATATGGGGGATGAATTACTATGGGGGATGAATTACTATAGGGGGGATGAATTACTATAGGGGGGATTACTATATGGGGGATGTATTTTCAGTTTTAAAAATGTGGCTCTCAAAATAAATTTCAATCGTGATTTTGGCGAGATTTGGCACAGTTGAAAAAAAAAAGGTTGCCCACCACTGCCCTAGGACAGTGGTTCTCAACCTGTGGGTCGCGACCCCTTTGGGGGTCGAACGACCCTCTCACAGGGGTCACCTAAGACCATCGGAAAACATATATTTCTGATGTGTAAAGAGCAGCTACTGTGTTGAAAGCAGCTACTGTGCTGAAAGCAGCTACTGTGCTGAAAGCAGCAGTATTGGAGGTAAAACGACACTTCATGAATTATAATTACTGGGTAAATAATTTTATGGTTGGGGGTCACCACAACATGAGGAACTATAATTAAAGGGTCACGGCATTAGGAAGCTTGAGAACCACTGCCCTAGGACCTCGGCAAAAAGAACCCACAAGAGCAGCCCTTCTCAACCAGGGTTCTGTAGAACCCTGGGGTTCCTCCAGTGTCTGCTTGGAGTTCTTTGAGCAATTTCTGCCTCTCAGATGACCACTGACAACAATGATATTTTTTCTTTGTATGAAAGGGGCAATTCTTCCCAATGATCCCAAATGTAAGGAGCATTCTTCCCAGTGAACATCACACCAATATACTGAACTCTAAATATAGTAAACATTAGCAGAGGTTCTCTTGGCCAAGAAAGTTAATCCAAGGGTTCCTCAGTGATAAAAAAGGATGAGAAAGCCTGTACTTGAGGGTTGATGACAAATGTATCTGCCCTGTAATGCCCTTGTGCCCAACACAAGACCCCAGCTGGCCCTATCTGTGCAGACCAAGAAAAGATATAGTAAAATGTTACCCCAGTACTTAAAAGCAGTGGTAGACCACAACTTAAAAAAAAAAAAAATCCCCTGCAAGGTAATGTCATAATGTGCTAGTAGACAGCGCGGGAGCTCTGGGCCATGGCAAAGTGCTCTGAAGGAAAGGCACGGATATGCCATTGCTTCAGAGTGCATGAGCTGACTCTCAAAAAGACAATATTATTTTACCTACAGGTAAGCTTACCTGTAGGTACCAACCGTATTAAAAAAAAAAAAAAAAGTTTACTACCACTTTAATCTGTACAACTCAAAAGTGCATTCAAAATACACAAAACATATCACTTCCATGCATGTGGCATAATGCATATAAACAAAAATGTCCATAAAACAAATAGTCCAAAAAACCATGGCTGCCAAAACACCAGTAGAAAAGATTATGTGATCGCTCCAAAACCTTTTCTTACACTTCACACAATGCAAAAGAAAGTGCACTCCACCCAGTGAGAAATCAAATCTGCTCACCTCCACAATTGACTTCAAATGGTTAAAAAAGGTCTGACAGCACTTGTTAACCCCAACTGGATACACCACCTGTTAGGCACTTTGCTGAGGGGCAGTGGCATGCTTTCTGCATTCCCACACTGAAATTAAAGTGGTTGTAAAGGCTGAAAGTTCTTCGGTATGCTGCTCCTCCCCACAGCCCACCTAATACTCACCTGAGCCCCCTCTCAATCCAGCGATGTGCACAGGAGCCTCAGCTGTCCCAGGTTTCTCTCTCCTCATTGGTTGAGATACAGCAGCGGGAGCCACTGCCTGTCAATCACAGCCAGTGAGCCAACGAGGAGAGAGTGAGGGGCAATCACAGCTCTATGTATCTTATGGATGCATAGGGCAGGGCTCGGGAGCGAGCACACACCAGAGCCCCCAGAGCAACTTGGTTAAGGGGAGGAGCCAGGAGTGTCAGTGGGGGACCCAAGAAGAAGAGGATTAGGGCTGCTCTGTGCAAAAGCATTGCACAGGGCAGCTAAGTATAACATGTTTGAGAGTATAGTCCCAGCCTCATGTGATCTCAAAGAGAGAGTGAGAATGGCTCAGGATTGTGCAATCAGGTTAAGTAAACAGATTGGAGTTAAATAACTACCACTATCAATGTGGTGTGGGGGATGGGGATTAACGGCACTGACACTGATCACCAAGGCATGACACTGATCACCAAGGCTGGACGTGGGGATGTCAGGGGTCCACATTTGAGGCTTTGTAATTTGCAAGTTGACCACTACTACTAGTGAATTTTTCACTGTGCCGTATATGAAGGTAGACCAGGCTGGATGCTAGCCTAAAGGCAGTTAGATTACAGCCCAGTTGGATGTAGATGGAAATTATTGCTCTTGCACCCACAGCATTAAAATAGAGCATCAACCTATCCCCCCCCCCCCCCCCATTTTGGCCCAAACAAACTATTACCGTTACTAAATACGATTTAGATAGGTCCAGTTAGTTGATTCAGTCACCACATCCCCATTAAATATGTGAAAAAAACAATCAGTAAATAAAAAAGAAAATGGGAGTCCCAATATCCTCTCTCAGAAGAAATTTGACAATCACATTGATAAAAAAGCATTAACGTGTCAACTAAACCCACAACGGTAAAATCGGTGTGTATATGCAGTAAAATATGCTTGTTATACTCACTGTGGAACCTAAGGGATTAATCCTCTGCATTGTGTAAAAAGGCCATTTGATCCTCTCTGTTTCTCCCCTTTTTCAAGTGACCACCTCTTATCTCCTGATAAGACAGACTGAACCATAGGCATTTGTACATGCTCAGTTTGGTGTGTATTCCTAGTGAAGTTTTTTTTTTCTCTTGGGAGAGTGCATGTGATCAGCACAGTGCCAATCAGCACTCTCCAAACATTGGGTCAGGGGTATTGCATCCTCCTAGAGCAGAAAGAAAACTCCTCCTACAAGCATTAGATAGTGCTTGGCTGGACACCGATAGAAATCACAAGACTGCTCTAACTTCTGATGAGAAAAGGTATTTAGCAGTTTATATTTACTAAAATAATTGCAATTGCATGTTCTGTGGAAGATCAGATATGATGAATGCAGGGTCCGCAGTTTAGTAACACTAAGTTTTATAACAAAGATACCATTTAAAAAGACTTTTGGGGTAACAAAATCCCTTAGACCAGAATAAAAGTTAAAATGAATCACCGTCATTACATAATACACACTAGTACACTAAACATCATGATATATATTTCTCAGAAAGGGGGTACAGAGTTCTGACGCCTTTCACACTTAGGTTTCTTCAGGGGTTCAAGCGGTGCAGTGTGGAGATTGGAGAAATAAATCCAGGTAGATATACCCAATAAATGGGGAGCATAACTAGGTCCATAAAGCAATCTCACATAATATGTCAATAAGCATGGAGGGTAATAGATGTAACCAAGATGGAGTTGGCATTCAAAGAACTGACCAAGGGGTGCCAGGGGCAACGCATACGATGAGAGAATAGCGCTCCTTAATTTCACATAACATGACCATGCATAACCTGTATGGATAAACAGCAAACAAACAGACTCGACTCATAAGACAGTCCAAGTCCAAAAGGAACTTCACAATTAAACATATGTCCCACCATCCCATGCTTCCAAAAACTCCACTCCAGACACCATTGGAGAGAGATCCTCTCCCCCCAATGGTGTCTGGAGTGGTGCTTTTGGAAGCATGGGATGGTGGGATATATATTTAAATTGTGAAGTTCTTTTGGACCCCGACTGTAAAAAGTAAAAAGATAAAACTATAATTCTACCACTTTATAAAACTCTGGTTCAGCAACATCTTGACTATACTGTCCAGTTCTGGTCCCCAATATTCAGGAAGGATGTGCTTGAACTGGATAGTCCAGAGAAGGGCAACAAAGCCAATAAGGAGGCTGAAGGACCACAGTTATAAGGAACGACTTAAGGGAGATATGCTTGCAATATACAAATCTTTAAAAGGGATCTGTATCATTAGGAGAAAACGAATCTTAGGTCTCCATAGAAGACACAACGGCCACACAATGAAGTTGGATGAGAAGCGGTTCAATCTTAAACTGCGTATGGGGTTCTTTACCGTTGGAGCGAAATGGATGAGGAACTTTCCTCCATCATTGCTGGTGTCAGCAGGAAATTCAGATAAATTCAAAAATTATTAGATGAGCTTCTTAGCTAAAGCAATATACAGAAATTGAAATTGTTAGTGCCACAAACACACACTCTGGATGAACTGAATGGACTGGTGTTTTTATTCAACCTTACTAACTATGTACTGTGTAAGAGGAATGGCATACGTTCCTTCAAAGTTGACCTTTCAGTCAACATAGGCTTCAAGTGATTTTGCCTAGGTTGAGTTGAGGTTATCAGTCTGTTGCAGGTGGGAGGAATTATTTATTCAGTCTGCTCTCTAAGTAAGCAGTCATGTGTGTGTTAGGGGAGAATAGGAAGGGGGGGGGAGGAGTGAATAATAGCTTAAAGTGATTGTATATGTACCGTATTTTTCACTCCATAAGACGCTTTTTTTTCCCCCCAAGAAAGGGGGGAAAATGTCAGTGCGTCTTATGGAGCGAATGTAAAGCGGCCGGTCCGGTATTTCTGCCTCCACCATGTCAGAATACCGGGCCGGCCACTCAGCTCTTCTCTCCTCCAGGACCTTACCTGTTCCTTGCTCCAGCGCTGCAGTCTTCCCGCAGCGGCTTCTGTGAGAGCCGGGTGCCCACTGCGCATGCACGAGAAGCGCTGCGCTTTGTGAATGGTCCGGCGTCTTCTGGGACACATTCCAGGTCCCAGAAGGCTCCGGGCCATTCACAACGCGCAGCGCTTCTCGCGCATGCGCAGTGGGCACCCGTCTGTCACAGAAGCCGCCGCGGGAAGAAGGAAGGACAACTCCACGGAAGTGGGAGCGGGTACCTGTCAAATTCAGGTACCCGCTCCCCCTCCCTCCCCAAAGGTCCGCAGTCTCTGGTCATCCCCTGTACTGTGCCCGCAGTCTCTGGTCATCCCCTGTACTGTGCCCGCAGTCTCTGGTCATCCCCTTTACTGTGCCCGCAGTCTCTGGTCATCCCCTGTACTGTGCCCGCAGTCTCTGGTCATCCCCTTTACTGTGCCCGCAGTCTCTGGTCATCCCCTGTACTGTGTCCGCAGTCTCTGGTCATCCCCTGTACTGTGTCCGCAGTCTCTGGTCATCCCCTGTACTGTGTCCGCAGTCTCTGGTCATCCCCTGTACTGTGTCCGCAGTCTCTGGTCATCCCCTGTACTGTGTCCGCAGTCTCTGGTCATCCCCTGTACTGTGTCCGCAGTCTCTGGTCATCCCCTGTACTGTGTCCGCAGTCTCTGATCATCCCCTGTACTGTGTCCGCAGTCTCTGATCATCCCCTGTACTGTGTCCGCAGTCTCTGATCATCCCCTGTACTGTGTCCGCAGTCTCTGATCATCCCCTGTACTGTGTCCGCAGTCTCTGATCATCTCCTGTACTGTGTCCGCAGTCTCTGGTCATCTCCTGTACTGTGTCTGCAGTCCATTGGTTCAGAATATTTTTTTTCTTGTTTTTCTCCTCTAAAACCTAGGCGCGTCTTATGGTCAGGTGCGTCTTATGGAGCGCAAAATACGGTAAATTTCCAATAAATTTAAAAATAAGAAACACGATACTTAACTGCTTCTCTGCAATGGTTTTGCACAGAGCAGCCCCGATCCACCTCTTCAGGGGTCCCCCACTGGCACTCCTGACCCTCCCCCCTGCCAAATACCCCCATAGCAAGCCACTTCCTATGGAGGCACTGGTGGTGCGGGCTCAATCCTGAGTCAGGCTCTGTATGTCCACTGACATACACAGCGCAGTTCAGCCCTGCCCCCTCTTCACAGGCTGTGATTGACAGCAGCAGGAGCCAATGGCTCTCAGTGCTGCCTCCATGTCCAGTGAGAAGATTGCTGCTGCTCTCAGGGATAGCGCTGCATCGAGATCGGGCTCAGGTAAGTATAAGGTGGGGGTGTGAATCCTGTGCACAGGCTTTTTTTTTTTACCTTAATGCAACTTTTACAACATTCTACCTTTACAACCATTTTAAAGAGGTCTAGGGGGAGAATTAGTGTTAGTTTAGATCTAAGGTAAACCTTATACTTTAAGTACAGTTACACTGGTACTGATAGCAGAAATTTCCCTAAATAAAATCAAGAAATAGAGACTAGTTTAACTAGTTGAACTAGTAACAAAGGCTGTGCTGGACATATTGACCTATTCACATGTTTAACTTTCAGTTAAAGAATGACACTTACGGCTTCTATAAACATTACTTTCTATTCACAAAAGGAAATATTACAAAAAAGAAAAAAGCACCCATTATGGCATTCAATTGTTATACAGTGGAAAATCTATATTCTTGTGATCTCTTTATTGTGCACAGATCTACAATATGAAAAAAAAATCATGGTCATACATTATATAGTTTAGCCATGACATCAAGGTTAACATTGTACAGTTTAAAAAAAATTATATATATATATATATATATATATATATATATATATATATATATATATATATATATATATATATAATTAAAAGTTATTTATAATTTAAAAATATATATTCACTTTTTTTTTTTTTTTTTTTTTTTTTTTTACACACAAACACTTTTTCTCCCTGTACTCTGGCAACACTGCTTCCTTCTAAAATATTTTGGAAACTACATAATTACTCTAATAATGAATTCAGTATCACTTGACTCCCAGGATAGAATGTGGACAGAAGCCAGCATAATGTTTATGAGAGCAGCAGGGCGATGTTGTGCACCCCATTTCACTGCAGACAATTTCTCAGCACACGCTTTGCAATCTCATTTACTGGGTAGTCAAAATAAACCAGTCATAGATTTGCTAGTGTGTGAAATTTATTTTTTTCCCCAGTATAAAAATGCAAACACCCTGAGTATTGGAGATATACTAAGAAGATATAGCAAGCATATTGCAGGCACCTAGAGGCTCTGCTCTATAGATCTGGAGCCACTTACAATGTAACAAACCCTCAGGCATGTGCCTGGTGCCAATCTAAATGTAAAATACTGATATATTATAGGAGTTTATAAGTAAAGTGTTACCGCTGGTTCACAAATCCACGTTCCTGCAGGCCGCGTTTTGCTCGGGCATGAGAGTGCATTCATTTGAATGGACTCCCGTGCCCCGGGACACGCAGGGAAGGAGTCCCTGCACTGCTTCTGAAAACGTAGCCCACACGGGAACCTTGGTTCCCAGTACGGTTGCGATTTCCAGTGCGGATGGCATGCCATTAGAACTAGTGGCACCCGCCCATGGGTCTGCATTCTTCTGTGTGGGTGGTGCGGCTGCACGGATTTTTGGGCAGATCTGCAACGGCACCACCTGCACAGATGTGAACCTAGCCTAACCGGTTTTACTAGTTAGGTCGGGTTTGACCCTGCATTACCCACATAGGAAACTATTGCCTAACTATACAGAAAGATCAGACAATGTGGGGAAATTTCCATTATATGACATGTTTTTTTTTCTGTTCATTTACACCCACTTTTCCATAGGAATGCATGTACCTTTTGGTTTAGGTCCACCTGAAAAGTGGAACTTTACCCATAACAACTAGATTAATAAAAAATTTTTTTTAGCAAGGAACATACATTCCATATTAATAGTCATGCTACCAAAATTAGTGTGCTGTAAAGTATCAAATGTATGAAAAATAATAAAGTATGAAATCAAATATCAAGTTTTTCAGATTATTACGCACTGCAGAGCATGCAACAAGCAGAATGTTTTTAGTAGCTGAAAAAAAAAATACAGATCTTTTACAGAACTAGGATTTGTTTCAAAAAGGCTTTAGCTTGTGTAAGAGCAGTGTGAACAGCTTTTATCAAACTTTGTTAAAGCTTTTAAAAGTATCATTCGGGTCCAGCTTGTAAATATTGAACAGATGTTAATGGGAGTGCTGATTGTCACTTTAAACAAGCTGCTAGCAGGCTTCACCACTACTTGAAGCTTGTTGAAATCCTGCCCAAAGCTGCTAGCAGCTTGTTTAATGTGACAACCTGTGTTCCTAT